TATTAAGACATTCAAATTGCATAAAATTTGAATAGTGGTCAGATAAAAAAAAAGTACTTGAAATAAGTCAGAAAAAGACATATATGATCTCGCTTATATGTTGAATCTAAAAAGAAAACCAGCCGAAACCGGTTTGGCTCAGTGGATAGAGCATCGGCCTGCGGACTGAAAGGTCCCCGGTTCGAGTCCGGTCAAGGGCATGTACCTGGGTTGCAGGCACATCCCCAGTAGGAGATGTGCAGGAGGCAGCTGATCGATGTCTCTCTCTCATCGATGTTTCTAACTCTCTATCTCTCTCCCTTCCTCTCTGTAAAAAATCAATAAAATATATATTTAATAAATAAATAAATAAATAAATAAATAAATAAATAAAAAACCAAACTCATAGAAACATAGTAGATCGGTGGTTGCCAGAGTAGGGGGAATGAGTGAAGGTAGGCAAAGGGCACAAACTACTAGTTATAAGTTCTGGGGATATAATGTACAGTATGGTAACTATAGTGAAAGTTGCTAAGAGAGTAAATCTTAAAAGTTCTCACATCACAAAAAAGTAATTATGTGAGGTAATGGATGTGTTAACTAACATAATCATTTCACAGCATATCCATATATCAAATCATCACACTGTACATCTTAAACTTATATATTACATGTCAATTATAGCTCAATAAAGCTGGAAAAATTAAAGTACTTACCACTAAGTCCCAATTATTTTGTTCAAGCAACGTAATAGCTTCATCAATGTTTTCAATGCCAGTACATGCCTGGAAATAAAGCAAATAAGAAATTTATATATAATTTTGGGACTGGGGAGGTTAATTAATCTTAAAAAGTAAATAGCATAATGAATAATTTAAGTCTGAATAGGTATATTAATTAAGCTAAATACCTAGCATATGTGGGCATTTTACACATAAGGTTAAAAAATTTCTAATTATACAATAAATTTACATTACAGTGAAATGAAAGGTTGGTTCTTCAAAAACATTAACTATATTGACAAATCTTTAGTTAGATTGACTTAAAAAAATAAAACTGAAATTACTAAAATCAGAAGTGAAAGTGGGGACGTTACTGCTGACCTTAAATATTAAAAATATAATAATACCATGAACAATTATGTGAAAACCACTTAGGTAACCTAGATTAATGGAAAAATTCCTAGAAATACACAAACCACCTAGAAAGACTCAAGAACAAATTGACTTATAACAAGATATTACATCAGAATTCAAAAGCCTCCCAAAAAGAAAAGTCTGGGACAAGAGGGCTTCACTGTTGAATTCTATCAATCATTTAAGGAAGAATACCAATCCTTTATAACTCTTCCAAAATACTTAATAGGAAACATTTCCTAAGTCATTGTGAGGCCAGCATCACTCTACAAACAAAGTCAGATAAAGAAATCTCAAGAAAACTAGAGATCTATATCCAATATGGATATAGACGCAAATATCTTCAAAAGACTAACTAGAACCAGCTACAAATAAAAAGGGTATATACCCCATGGTCAAGTAGGATTTATTCCAGGATTGCAAAGGTGATTCAGTACAGAGAAGTCATTACACCACATTTACAGACTGAAGGAAAGAAGAAAAAAACCATGATCAGTTCAAATGACACCATAAAGTATTTGAAAAACGCAACAGCTTTTCATGATAAAAATGCTTACCCTATCAATAAAAGGAAACTTCTTTAGCATGATAAAAAACATTTATAAAAATCCTAAAACTAAAATTATATTCAATGAAGAAAGGCTAAAAGCCTTTGCTCTAAGACAAGCATGTCAAACTCAAAGGCTAACTCAGCCAAATAAGCAGTTTAAGTTTATGTGGGCCACAAAAAAAACAATAGCTTCAATTTTTATAGAAACGTAGGTTTATTTAGATAGAGACATGCTGAATACAAAAGGCTGACGTAAATGAGTAATCATTAACATAAAATAGAATATTTTAATAAAAATTAATCATTTTCTTGAACATTAACTTACCAGACACTGAATAACTGCACAAATTAATAAGCATAATGCAAATAAACCTATTTTTCATGTTCTCCGAAAGCGAAATATTTCCTGGTGCGCACACCAAACAAGTCAGTGCAAGGCTAATGGCATGGCAATCGGCTAAAATATTCATCAGTAGTATTAGTAGAGAGAAATGGTGCGCCTGCACTAAGGGAAATGAATGCAACACGATTATGTAATGAGTCATTAGCAAAGGTTGTAGTTTGTTATTAATAATTATGTATAACAGGATATAGTAAAAATTAAGTTTCAAAATTTTTATTAAAACATTTCTTCCATACCCTTATACTGGCTGACCGCAAAGATGCAAAGATATTCGTTGTGGGCCACATGCAGCTCATGGACCGCAAGTTTGACATGCTTGCTCTAAGAGCAGGAACAAGAATGCCCACTTTTTTTTTTTTGCCACTTCTAAAACATCATATTAGAAATTCTAGCCAGATCAATTAGGCAAAAAATAAATAAATAAAACACACTGAATTTGGAATAGAAGAATAAAATATCTAGGAATAAATTTAACCAAGGAATGAAAGACTTGTTTTCACTATTCTGGGTCCCTTATAATTCTGAATGAATTTGAATTTGAAGATCAGCTTTTTCATTTCTACAAAAATGGCTGTGGGAAGCTGTAATTAATTTTGAGCTCTAAGAATAGTTGCTGTTGGTTCAATATGAATGTACGAGAAAATTCTTCTGTTTATATGTAGAGCTAATTTAGGTTCTGTTAAATCCATGATTGGTTGCCTCTGCACATGCCCCAAATGTGGGGGGGGGAGGGGGGAGCCAGGATGAAGCCTGCAACCAAGGTACGTGCCCTTGACCGGAATCAAACTCGGAGATCCTTCAGTCCATGGGCAATGCTCCCATCACTGAGCCAAACTGGCTAGGGCCTTATGTTTTCTTTTATGTGATTTATTAGAGGCTCAGTGCTCAAATTTGTGCACCAGTAGTGTCCTTTGGTCTGGCCTGCGGAATCAGGCCAAAACTGGCTCTCTGACATCCCCCAACGGGTCCCAGATTGTGAAAGGGCATAGGCCAGGCCAAGGGACCCCACCAGTGCACGATCAGGGCCAAAGGAGGGGGATGCAGGAGGTTGGCCAGCCGGAGAGGGACCACAGGAGGACTCCAGGGTGTGTCTGTCCCATCTCGCTCAGTCCCAATTGGCAGGACCCCAGCAGCAAGCTAACCTACCGATCAGAGCATCTGCCCATTGATGGTCAGCGCATATCAAAGCAACTGGTCAACCAGCCGACTATATGCCCCCTCGTGGTCAGTGCACATCATAACAAGCAGTTGAGCGGCCTTAGCATATCAATAGATATTACGCTTTAATTGGTTGAACAGACTACCAGACACTTAGCATATTAGGCTTTTATTATATAGGAGGATTGTTTTAGATCTTGTATTTAGATCTTTGATCCATTTTGAGTTAATTTTTATGTTTACTGACAAATAGTCTGATTTCATTCTTTTGCACATGGCTTTCCAATTTTCCCAGCACCATTTATTAATGAGGCTTTCTTTCCTCCATTGTATGTAGGTTTTTGGAGCCTCTGTGGAAAATTATTTGCCCACATACATGTGGGTTTACTTCTGAGCTCTCAATTCGGTCTCATTGGTCTGTCTGTTTTTCTGCCAATATCTTGCTGTTTTGATAATTGTCACTTTGTAGTATAATTTGAAGTCAGGTAGTGTGATACCTCTGGCTTTGTTCTTTTTTCTCAGGATTTCTTTGGCTATTTGGGGTCTTTTATCATCCCATATAAATCTGATGATTTCTTGTTCTATTTCTTTTTTAAATGTCATTGAAATGTTGATGGGGATTGCATTAAGTCTGTATATTGCTTTGGGTAAAGTGGCCATTTTAACAATGTTGATTCTTCCAATCCATGAACAAAAAATACCTTTCCATTTCTTTGTGTCTTTTTCAATTTATTTTAATAATGTCTTAGTTTTTAGTGTATAGGTCCTTCACATCCTTTATTACGTTTTCTTAAGGAATTAATTTCTAATACATGCAATCAGTCGGATAAATCTCAAAAACATTATGTTGAGTGCAAGTAGGAAATACAAAAAAAGTATATGCTATATGATTCTATATAAATGATATTCAAATCTGGGAAAAACTAATCTATGGTGACAAAAAAGAGAACTGACATGAAACAGACATGAGGAAACTTCGTAGGAAGATCTATACCTTAAATGGAGTTGTGGTTTATGAGTATAGTTTTGTTGAAATTTATCTAACTATACTCTTAAGATCTGTGCATTTTATTTTATAAAAGTAAACCTTGACAATAACAAAAAAGGGTATTGAGGGGAAAAGACTTATGAGTGATAGGTCTCCCTAACCCCACTTCACTTCATGCCCTCATTTATTCATTCAACAAATATTAACTGAGTATCAACTATGTTCTAGGTGCTGGGGATACAATACATAAAAATATAGAAAACCCTGCTCTAGTTATACATGCATTGGAAAGGGAATACACAGACAATAAACAAGATAAATGGTTTAAATATACATATGGACTTAAGAGAGTAATAAATAGAGATTTAAAGCAGGGAAGGGAGATATGAAACATTAAGAAGAGATTAAATTTTTTGATAGGTAGGCCAGTGAAGACCACTAAGATAACTTTGTAGCATCTATAACTTGACTATATCTATGGAACATGATTGGTTATGTTATTATGACAATTCTGAACCTAGGCCTTTAGAAGTATTATGAGTTTCTGCTTGCCCTCTTACATTTCTATGTTATCATTACACATGTGAAACCAGATAATTACTGAGTTACCTGCAATCCCTTAAAAGGATCTTAGAATGAAAATGCATGGAACATAGCTGAGCTCAACCTGCTCTGGAGCCAAGTACAACAAGACCTGTAACTTGAAGCACAGCCACCAAGACAAATAGCTTGGATCAATCAACTCACAGCAAACGGCTGAATGAGAGGAAATTATTGTTTTAAGACACTGAGTTACAGGGTGGTTTGCCGCTCAGTAATAGCATTAGCTTGGAGTTAAATACTATGTTTGGTATATACGTTTTTTAAAAATATTCTTAGCAGTACTATGCAATTATAAAAAGGAATGACCAAGTGTCTCTATCCTATATAATAAAAGGCCAGCAACCATAAGCATAATGACCAGAACAACCACTCTTCCAGTTGCTATGAGACAGGGGGTCAGTGAGGGGAACGGGGTGGCTGGTGGTGGGGTGGGACCAGGGGCTGGCAAGGGGAACCAGGTGGCTGGCGGTGGCAGCAGGGTGGGACCCACGGCTGGCGAGGGGAACCGGTTGGCTGGTGGCAGCAGCAGAGGAGGACGGTGAAGGGTACTGGGTGGCTAGCAGCGGGGCGGGACCTGTGGCAGGCAAGGGGAACCAGGTGGCTGGCAGGGGCAGCGGGGCCGGACCAGGAAGTGGCGAGTGGGTGGAAGATGGGCCTGATTGCAGGCAAGGTCTAGGGACCCTACCCGCACATGATTCAGTGCGCTGGGCCTCTAGTATTACAATAAAGAAATCTCTAGGATATATCGTTGAGCGAATAATAAAAGTTGTAGAAAAGTTTGTGCAGGGTGCTATTATTTATTTAAGACTGATAAGAATATGAAAATGACATAGAAGCATGGAAGAGACTGTTGAATCTCAGAGGGAAGTTGGGGTTGGGCGGGTGGGTGGGAAGAGATCAACCAAGGAACTTGTATGGATTTGCATAATCTATGGGTACAGACAATG